AGGGGGGGGGGGGGGAAGATGCCCACCTGGAGCAATATGAAGAGCCAGGCGATCCCGATCCTAGCCTGGAAAATGCTTGTTGCCGAGTTTGGCATTTGCACTCCAGTTCATTTCAGGAAGGGCAAACGGGGACTACAGAACTTTGCAGATTAAATCTTAGATAGATTGATTATAGCCTCCCCGATCCAAATCTCGTCTCCCATCTGAAGCGGGTGAGAAACACTTTAGCGCCACACATTTGCCCAGCTTCACTGCACATCAGTAACGCTGACCCAGGCCTGACTTTATTGAGAGCAAGCTTGGGCAAGAACCACCTACCACAAAATTCTGGCTGCCTCCAGTCGATGACCACGCCTTTGCGTGCGCAGGCCATGGCGTAGGCAGAGATCGCCGTGCACAAGCAGTCTTTGCCATCCGAGCAGGAGCAGACATCGTAGCGACAGTTCTTGAGGTAGGGAGAAGGACTGACTTCGTGGTGGCAAGGCTCAAACAGGGGCGACAGCAGGACCGAGCAGGAACTGTCGGCGTACCTGGCTGCAAGAAAAGCAAGTTCAGCTTAGGACCAAAAGAGAAAGAGTGGCAACCCGTCCCGTGACGTGCTGTTTGGGCACGGAGGGTCCATCGCTGAATGGCGAAAATGAAGCTGCGGGTCAGGTTCATAGCTCGGAGGTAAAACACTTCCGTTCCTTCCCGCCTGCACCCTAAGGAGGCCCTTAGAAAGTACCGGATGTGAAGGGGTTTGCTACCCGGAGATCGCTATGAGCCTGGTCAGATTTATCATGACTTTTTACGGCCCGCGAAATTTCAGGGGCATTTCCAGGAGACCTTCAGCTCTAGTATTCCTCGCTTGCAACAAAGGGCCTTTACGGACAGCCAGATCAAGCCAAGACGACGCCATGGAAAACCCAACCGACGGCATCATTAGGACCTTGCACAGCTACATCTCTGCCTTGCCCTGCTTCTGCTGTGTTTTTGCAGATCTTTAAAGGCCTGGTTCTTCCAACAGTTCCTGCGACAGGGTGGGTTATGATCCTCCCCCTGAAACGAGGCTGGAGTTTTATCTTGCTGTTCCTGGGTTTGGGGCTTTGTTTCTCCTCAGTGAGCTGTGGTTATAACGGTCTGCTGTTATTAGATTTATATCCCACCTTTATTTTGTACAATTCACAGTGGCGCATGTAATACCCCCTCACATTTTTCCCACACAACTCTGTGAGGGGGGCTGGGCTGGGCGAGTAACTGGCTCAAAGCCATGCCCAAGGGAGGACCAGGACACGCAGACTCCTGGCTTCTGGTCCAGCCCTTCACCCCAACACCAATCTGGTCTTCTATGGTTATTATTTGGGGGATTTTCAATTTTGCTGTTTCTTTTTTAATCTTAATATGGTATCTGAAAATTGGCATCTGGAGTCAATACCACCGGACAATTCCCAGTGGCCCAAAGAGCTCTCCCAAGTTGTAGGAGGACATTCTTGACCCTTTGATCAGAGAGAACAACTGTCCACTTCCTGGGCCACAACTCCTTCCTGGCCATCTCCATTTGCTAGGGCAGGACTCCCTATTCGCAGCTAGCTCTTCTCTCAGGTTCCTGCTACATCTTTCAACGCTGGACACTCTCAACTGGCACAAAGAGGAAGCCAGCTGGCACAGGGCACCTTCTTTGCAGATATACCTTCCTGGGATGGGGCAGAGAAATACATGCAGTGAAGCAGAACCAGGAAATCTGTCATTAAATATTCTTAACTGTGTGTTGGGGGAGAGGTAAGAAATAACCTTTCCTCTTCTTGAGATGCATTTAGCCTTGCGTGGCCTGCCAGAGCAACATTCCAAAGGTGGGCAAAGCCAGACAAAAGGAAGGGCCAAGAGAATAAGAAAACTTGTTTTAAGGCAAGAGGTTGATCTTATTCCTCATGCATTTAATCACATCCCTCTTTTGCCAGGCTAAAAGCCACAACCCAGCATAAAACCAGAACCCTGATTTAATGCATGTCATGGAGTGGACTCTTGTCCCCGAAAGCTTAGTCAGAAGAATGGTGTCCACCTTTAAAGCGCAACAGAACTCTTTGCTGGGCTTGATGAATTATTTTGCATCACAGCCCACAAGGGCTCTGTCATAAGCGCACCTACCTAAACGTGGATTGAGATTACAGGAATTGCTGTCTTGTTTCTGCAAATCTTCGCAGTCTCCCTTAAGCTTCCAAGAATTTCCAAAGTCTTCCACAAGGGTTTCCACCAGGCCAGAAGGGGTGAGAAAATCATCTCCTTGATTCCCATTGTAGTTGCCACACAGACCACAAGTTTGTTCAGTGTATTCTGCGGATAACTAGAAATTTTTTTTTAGAAAATAGCTTATATATTTTGCAGGAGTTTAAGAAACAAAACAGAAAATACCGTACACAACCGGAAATACCAACTAAGCATGCTTGGAGTTAATAATCATATTTATTTGATATACTTATATATCACATCTTACATGAAAACATCTTTTAAGAGGTTTATAACAGAACAGCTGTATGATCCATAATCAAACTTTCAATAAAACATATTAATTTTTTAAAAAAGGGGTGGGGGAGAAAAAAGCATTCCTTCCACATTCATCCCCAGGAGGCCTGGATGAAGAGGTGAATTTTCTATAGGCACCTCAGAGGGTGATTGGTTGGGGGGCAGGAGGGGGAGAAGAGCATTGTGGAGCACAAACATCACCACAAAGCAGCCTCCCCACATTCACGGCTCGTCCTACGGCCTTCCCTAGTGCTCCTCCCCCATCATTTCTGCACTGCTTAGACCCCAACAAGCGGTATGATTGAACTGACTGAAAACCAAGACGATATGCACAACCTCATTATTTACTCTTAAAACTCTACAGTTGCTGAGAATATGATAATGGAGACACAAGTTTTTCCTGTCTGATTATGCCATGGAGTCGGTGGGGGGGCGGGATCTTAAATTCAGGATCATCATCTTTTTGGGTAAATAGAACAAAAAGCCTTCTGGAAGGATTCATAACTCGCCCAGAGCTGTTGATCAACTTTCCTTAATCAAACCATCTAAACCATCTGGCTGGGTATTCTGGGAGTTGAAATCCAGACATCTTAAAGTTGCCAAGGTTGAGAAACATTGATCTAAATCCTCTAAAGACATCTGAGCCTTTATCCATCACACATCACACAATGGGAAATTCTTTATATTATTTATAGCGCTGGCTACCAAAGGACCTCCTTTCCCTGTCCTGACATGAGCACTAATCACCTTCATTCAGCCAGGAGGAGTTTAGTAGCACCTTTTCCAACTAAGGTGAGAAGCTTCCATGAGCTGCAAGCACCTGTTGATTTGAACGGGTGCACCAGACACCTCCTGATGTTTTTGCTACCATAAACTAACACAGTTCTCCTCCTTCAGTTTCACTGACTCTTAATTCTGGTTTCAGGAAAGCAATCATCAGAGCCGGGAGAAGCCTTCTCTTTCTACTACTCACTCCTCAACAACCTTAGACTTAAGTGGACCAACCTGCTCTTCAAGACCTCAACACACTCATACAGTTCCATGACCCTGGGCTTACTGTACCTCCCAGACTGATAAAAGAGGCAATCCTGTACATAATTATCAGGGGACAATTCCCACTGAGCTCAACAGAGTTCGCGTCTGAGTAAACATGCAAAGGATTGCACTGCTTGGTTCACTCCTTTAGGTTTCCATGTCACATCCTCTTATCTGCAAGCAAACTCTACAGACTCAATTTAGGCAGATTTACTTCTAAGTAGAGAAAGATGCATAAGTATGGACAGCAGCCAATCCAGCCAAATTTAAACACTTTCAAAAATTAGTGATTTCAACAGGATAGTTAACCTTTTATATTAATACTTAATCTATTACAGTTGTCAACTGTGAGAAAGGAGAGACACATCATAAATATGTCATCTGGGCAAAGTAAAGCACATCTGGGATTTTTAGAAACTGTTTTATATTCTTATTTATATTCTTATGATTTAATATTCCTGTTTATATTTCAATGTATTTATTGAAAATGGTGGTTGACCACTTAAAGTTTCGAAGGACAGGGAGGGAAGAGATGCCATTGTTCAGGAATGTAGCAGGAAACCCAGATTATGCAACACTTATCAAAAATGTCTGCAGTGTTCATTGGGAATGACTCACTTCCTCCAATTGTCTAAAATATTTGGCAGTACCTCCTGTTGTGTATGGGTTCTAAATTATTTTTAGTGCTCCAAAAGTTTAATGAACAGAACCATTTTAAAAAGACAATGGAGAAAAATTAAAAGGTGAATTGGAAATACGCTACAGTTGCTGTTATTACGAAAGATTTGCACGAGGTGAGGGATTTGGTTAGATAGGCTCCTGGAGTCAGACTGGGCTGTTGAGGCCCTCAAGTTCACCCCTTGCTCCTTGTAGGAACCCGAATGAAAGCATCCTTGACAGACCCCTGTCCAGCCTTTGATTGCACTCCTCCATACAACATACACTTCTCCAAGGAGAGAACCTTGGAGTAACAGGTCTTGGTACCTGCTGGAAGCGTTTCTTAACCTCAGCCAGTAATTGTCCTCTGGAACCAGACCGTGATTCCATGTCCTACCTTCTGAAATGTTACAAGACCTTATCCCGTCCTCCCAGATGCCCTACCAGAACGGATGCTCCAGCCACACAGAATGATGCATAGCACCACCACAATGAAGTTCCTTCCATCTGCTCATTGAAGGCAACCTGTTGCCATATTTGGGGGTCCCACCCCCTCTGCTTTTCAGTGGCATTGTGCCTGGATTGACTTCTGTCGAGAAGAGAGAGCAAGGTCTGCCCCGACAGTCAATCAACCTACATCAGCAAGCAGTCTATTATTTGGGGGGGGGGGGAATAACACATCTGCAAATCAGAAAATCATGCATTACAAGGATTTTGATATCCCCCTACAATTGGCTCTCGCTTTCTCCTAAAGTTAAAATTATTCATTTGGCTCTGAAATATGGACCAAATGTGGTACAGATGTTTTCAGATTTGGCTAATTTCTAGTTACATAACTTGTCCTTGGGTTTGACGGCTGGCAGAGATCTGAATCTGAGGACCCCTTCCTTCCTATGAATTGCTTTTAAAAAGGGGTCCTCACATTTCTGCAAACCTCCAGAGAAGTCTCTGATCAACATAAAACTTTTAAATGGAGTAAACATCTATGCTAATGCGAGTAATGAAAATTAGCATGCATAATGATCCTTTGAAGTCAAGGAAAAAGCATTCACTCAAGAAAACAAAGAGGCCTTTAAGAACAAACTACACTGGCTGGAGCAGGAAATGATGTAAACAAGGATCTTTTACTCATTTCACGGAAAGAAAATATAAGGGGAGGAGAGAGGAAAAGGGACTAACGTAGAATTTCACTATTATTTGTTCTTCTCTAGGGGGACAAATCTACATACAGTAATAGTTAAGCACAATGCCCTTCAGGAAAAGCAGGTTGGCTGTTCAAGTTTGAGCAATGCTGAAAAAATTCTGCTTGAGATTCTCCAGTCTTGTGTCCTTGGTAGTCTTTTCTGCAATGATGAATTCCTAGAACTCACCCACTGTGTTAATCTTTTCCTTACAGGAAAAAACCTTTTCTTACAATTGCGTACGTTGCATGAGGGCAACATAACTTGCACAACACCCTCTTGCCAGTTATCCTCCACCCCACAATTCCTTCCATGTTTTCTGCAGTGACAGAAAGGAATGTTTTTAGAATCAAACTTGCTGTCAAAGGCTGTATTCACATGAAACCCTAACCGTGGCTTAAGGAATTCTAAACTCAACATTCTAAGTTTATATATAACATAGTGCACTAAGCCAAACTCCCCGGAGTTACCCAAACATGAGGCAAGATGTGATCACCTCATTTTGGTTCAGTATATCATATAAACATAACCCAAATCTCTACCACCACCACTTCCACTGGCCAACCTTGTCCAAGTATAAAGATTAAGCAATTTCAGGCTTGGTTAGTCCTTGGCTGGAAAACCAACAGGGACGGAGCAAGAAAGGCAGTAATGTCAGATCACGTTTGCGTGATTGCCAAAAACCCTACATAGATGTTTCACGAAGGCAACCATGATTGAGTTCTACTGGAGCCTTCATCTTTTCAAAAGAGAAGTAAACATTTGCCAAGTTCCCTGCTCTTGAGATATTTCAGCATAGGAACTTATTTATGTTTAATGCACCCAATTTATGGCTGTCTAGATGAGAAAGAAAAGAAGAATTTAATCATCATGACCCTATTTCATACATTTCCAACTTCCATGTAAATATATTTCCTGTCTCCACAGGAGCTGAACAAAATTGTAAAGCATTTTTGTCTTCAGTACTAAACAAAACAGCACAAAACAAGGAAGTCCTTTTACAAAGAAAGATCCAAATGTCCATCTTAGTCATACATAAACATGGAACAGATTGTAGCCTGTACACCTTGTTTGCTATTCTAAGAATCACGTTCAGAGGCTAACTTTGCTACTGCAACTGTTTCGTTTTCAGGTTGAAAGCCCACTAGAATCCCCCTTGTAGGAGGAAATGGGATTTCACAGCCTATCTATGTGCAGCCAGAATTATCTTCCACTGAAATCAATGGGACTTACATCTAAGCAAGACACCCAGGTGTCTTACTTGGACCACCTCAGGGAAAAATTAAATCTTAAGCCTTGCACTGCAGACTCTTAAGTTCCTCCTACGATGTGTAGAAAAGTAGCATATTAGTCGGCAAACAAAACTTTGGAGCAAGGGCTGTGGAGGATCTGGGCCTGCTACCTAGAGCAGTTCACAGGAAGGCTGACCTGAGGGCTCTTGTGAACAGATAATAAATTTGCCCCTGCACAGTAAATATATGGCCTTTCTGGGTGAATTTTCTGGGGCACGCTGGAAATAATTCCAGCAATGTTGCTTACCCAGAAGGAAGCCCCACTGGACCTGTCCCTGTATAACTGTAGAGTGGACTGTAGTTTTAAAGTCTAAATGAACCTTCACATTTATTGGCCCTGAGACACCCAGAGGTGGGCAGAAAACAGGGGGTTCCAGGTGCCACCTGGATCTGGGACCCTCCTAGCAAGATTCTGAGTCACAGAGAGCTGGACATCCCCTTCTGATTCTCAGCAGAGGGCAGGGAAAAAATGAGCACGCCAGCCACCCCTCACACACAGCCCTTGTGCACTCAGGGTTATCCTGTAGGCTAATCGCATAGACAATAACCCTCGCTGCCCTCCAACAAAGCTCTAGCCAAGTCCCAGGGAGATGACTCAGCTGGGCCCCAGCCAAAGGCCCCAAAGATGCACCCTCAAGTCCAAGAAGGTCTCTTACAGAGAAACATTTGGGAAGGAAAACAGGCCATGAACAGACTTGCAGTGTAAATACAGTGTTTAAGTGCTGAAAGGTGGGCAAAAAGAACACTTAGGCTTTCCAACAAGCCACAGTCATTTGGCTTTTCCCCTTTAAAAATGGACGCATGAAAGGAAGAAGGAAAAGTAAACCATACCTTCATCACGAGGGTCCCGAGCCCATCCCAGTCGAGATGCATGTTCTCTTTATAGCTGAGGCGAACAGCTGGCAGCACGGTATGCTGGACGTGGAGAGCATCTGGAAGAAACAATGGGCTGCTCAGAGGTCAGCGGGCCCCGCGCAAGGAACCTCCTTGGCATGAGGAACTCAGCAGGCTGCAACTGCAGACCACCATCCTTCTGTCCCTTCCATCGAAAGGGAGCCAGGATCGATCCGCTGGCGTGACATCACTTGATCACTGGGAGCTCGTGATTCCAACAAAAAGGGGGGAAAAGGAGCTGCAATCCCACTGCAAGTCTCCTAAGAAACCAGCAACGTACTACACGCCTCTGCTCCGCTGGCATAGAGCATAACAGAGCTTTCTCCAGGAGTATCCCCTTTGCCATTCTGCCATTCAGGAAAAAAGGGGGCACACAGGAAGCCCGCTCTCAGTTTAGCAGCTCCTTCTATGAGAACAGGCAGGCTTTTGCTTCTCCTGTTTCCCTCACCTACAACTCCTCAGGTTCCTCTTCTGCCCTCTCTAACCAGCCAGGCAAACTCGCCCCCCCAGGTCACCACAGCAGAAACCGATCAAGCTGCTGCTGCTGCTGCTGCTCCCTTTTCAAAAGAAACTAAGGTGATCCTGCAAAAACTTCCTCTTTCCAAGGAGCATGAAGTTAGCAAGGGGGTTTCAAACGCTCCAGAGCCCCTCCTGGAAGGAGCTTTTCAGTGCTCAGTGCAGGCAAAACTGAGACCTTTGCCAGGTGAGTAAGACTGAAGCTCCTTAGTCCATTAACTCTCCAGCAAGCAGCTGCCTTCCCACTTTTCTCTTTCCTATTTTTTTATTTTCCCGGCATGTTCACAGGAACCAGGGACAGTTTATAGCATCCCTCCACATATGCAGCTCCCCCAGTCCTGATCAAAGCCTGTCCAGTGATTTGCTAACAAGTAGAGAGGTGTCAAAATTAAAAGAATATCCACATGCTCTAAATTTAAGAGCTGTTTGGCCCAAACATGGCAGGCAACTTTGCTCTACTTCAAAGAAAGGTTTCATGATAATTTGCATGATTCTTAGCAGAAACCCATGACAGTTGAACCAATTTAAAGCTGAAGTACTATTTGGAAAGACACTTCAAGCTCAGAACACGCACACGCTTCCTTTGCAGTGGTCCTTCCCTTCTGTAAGGAAGTCTAGGCGACCAGTTAACTGAATCCCTTACTCACAACTCCCTTCTAGTTAATAACAAGGGAGGAAGTGGGGGGGGGGGTGGATGTTTGTTGCTTGAATTTCCCCAGAAGCAGCAGCTGGTTGTGGAAAGGAAAACATCTAGGCTGCCCCTCTAGGGCAGAGGATGACCCGAACTCATAGTTCTCCATGCAGTTAGTGGTGATGGGAGCTCAATTTGATTTTCAGGTGCTCAAGGCATATGACCAGTTTTCTTTAAAACTGCTTTTTAATGAGGCACAATTTCCCCTGTTCCAGCATTGACCCTGCCTCTCTTGAAACCTAAACCTTTTCCCTAAGCTGAACCCATTTCACTTCCTGCTGTGGATTTCAAGTTGTGGCAGAGACCCTGCTGGACACAGACGGGAGAGCCAACGAGCCTGGCCCTGAAAGCCAACTCTGGACTCTCCAAAGGTGCAGAGAACCCGCTGAAGCTTCTTTTCCCCGTCTCTTGAGCATCCAGGGACAGGGGTTGAAAGCAAAAGCAGGCTCTTAGAGCCTTATTAGTCCAAATGAAGTGCCATTATAAAAGGCTAAGCCAAGGAGGTCAGCTGATCTGGGAGCAGCACTTCGAGGCTTGTTCTCCACCTCTCACACCAACAGTCTGGGTAAGTCTCAGCAGCGGTCATGGAAGCCACTCCTTCCTGGTGTAGTCTCTGGACCCTTCCTTCCTTCCTTCCTTCCTTCCTAGCTTGAGGAACTAGCTGCCTGGGCAATGAGCTGAGCCTAGGCCAGGCAGCATAGAAGGTGGGGGAGTTGGTTTGCGTAGGCCTGATCCAGGGTAATCCAGCAGGCACTTTCTCTGCAGGCTTCTCTTGATTGTCCTCCAGCATCTGCCACCTCCCTCAATGACCTCCTGCTCCTTCATCAGAGCAGCTTTTATGCTCAGCAGGCACTGGGTCTGCAAACAGTCATTCCCTGCTGGGGTGGCTTGGACTCCCGCTGAAGGAGCCTGGGGTTTTCCTTCACCACACTAATACAGCCCGAACGCTATTTTAGATAGAGACTTTGTGACTATTTGTGTCTTGAAGGCCTAAGTCTTTTCAGACTGAGTTTTTGTTTTTTCATTTGCAGAAAGGGGAAGACGTTCTTCCTTTGGCCTTGGTTCCATAACCCTGGTTCCCAAGCCATCAAAAGCAATTACTGCTGCATAACCCCAATTGTTCTGGTTGGATGGGGCAGCTGCTGGGCTGGGAGAGGCCCCTCAAGATTTTCCATAATCTTATTTTATCTTTAAAAGTCCTAACCTTTCCCTGTATTTCTCTCTCTGTCCTCACTTCTATCTTTTGCTCCTCAAATCCTCTTATTCTCTAAAGATTGTAATTTTCTCAAACTGCAGAATCTCTGTATTTCCAGCTGCCTCCCAGGCCTAGAGCGCCCTCCTCAAAATGAATTTATTCTTTCAGTTGGGTCCCCCCAAATCTCACCTCTTCTGTAAATATCAGCCTCAATTTCTTGAAAGCAATGCCTTCCCCATTCTCTGGTTTGAATGAATAAATAAATAATATGTGCCATTACAAGTGGATATAGCAGATATGGGCTGGTCCCTTTAGAACATAGAACACTTAAGCTTCTTTCTACATCACAAAACACTGTTTTATCCCAGTATGGTACCCCCCAACTAGTAACACATCACAAGGACTTTAGACCAAGGTCCTTCTTGCTTGTTAACTGAGATATTTTGGGATCCCAGGCACTGAACCTGTAAGCAAATGTGAGCTGGAAGTCTTCCTCTTGGAAATGCAGAAGATTACATTAGCAAGAAGACCACATACTTTGTATGAAGGGAATCTGAATGTCCTGCCCGTTCACCGAAACGCCACCGCCATGTTTCAGTTTAACAGTCAGATTCTCATCCTGGAGCTGCACAGAGACTGAGCGGGTACACACCGCATCACGGTCATCAGCACACTAAGGAGACATCAAAATTAAAAAGGAAATTTCAGCTTCATTATGGCTTCAGTAGACCGGTGGCAGGAAGACCCTTTATTTGACCACTGGTCATGCAATACTCATATCTGTTATGTATAAAGAGCTGTTTTGCATTAGAGGCAGTGGGCCGATTTCGATCACTGATTGAGATGGTCATAATAGCTATTCCCTCTCCCAAGAAAATGGTGGTCCTGTGATTTTATCAATCCCACTGTGATGGACTGGATTGGAGGAAGGGGGGTGAAAACGGTGCTCTTGTCTCCAGAGCAACGCTCTGGAGATAAGCGGAGGAAGCTGGCGCATCCCTAAACATTCCAGAAGATGATAGAGAGTTGTGCCTGGGAACTAGTGGTCAGTCTGAGAAGATTTCTGTAAACAGGCGCTGGCTAATAAACCTTGCTGATTGAACCTACACGGTCTCCAGGAGTTCCCTGGGCTAGGCCTGACACCCATGAACCAATTACAATTCTAGATGTGGAAGGGAAGTCCAAATGGATCCTGGCACACCACCAAAATAAATTGATTGCCCTCCCTGGCAGCCCTATTCTGTCCTCTAATCCAGTGTTCCTCAACCTTGGCAACTTTAAGATGAGTGGACTTCAATTCCCAGAATTCCCCAGCCAG